CCCGAGGAGCCCTCCATACGTTGAAAACGAGTTTCAAACATGCAGTGGGCACTTGAAATTCGAGAAACTTGTCCCGAAGCTCGACTAACGGGACTGTCTCATAATATTTGGAGTAGTCGGCGATAATGAGCACACTGAAGCGGTTCGAGGCAACATCAGCCTCTGCACGCGCCGCTTGCGCCCAAGCGCAGTCCAGAGAACTCCTCCCCCGACTGCACCCCAGTGCCCACGCTCCACCTCCTCCATGAGTGGTCTTAGCAAAGGCCGCCGCAGCCTCTGCCAGATGCGGTACATTCCACTGTAGAGCACGATTAGCCTATGTCCAGTGGAAGGCTTCGGCAGCATGGGCATCAGTACCCATAGAAGTTGCTTAGGTAAGAGACCTATCGCATCGCAGCACTGCCACACTCCAGCTAGCAAATACAAACCATCGTCATCAAGCAACGGAAATGCCTTGGATGAAACTGATCCAAGGAAGTGTGGAACCCCCATACGAGGCACAGAAACGTATGAAGGGTGCCTCGACATGGGGTGGGTCACCATGCGCAGGACCCTGCCACGGGGGCCTTCGGAGGAGCTCCTCATGGGGGCGGATGACCATGCGGACCCTGCCAAAGGGGCCTTCGGTGGAGCCCCCTACGGGGCCACGAAATGCGTCAAGAATGCACCAACATGGGGCGGCTGACCATGCGGATCCTGCCTCTGGGGCCTTCGGCGGAGCTCGCTGCTGGTCCGCAAAATGTATGAAATGTTAACTGACGTGAGGCGGATCAGTGCGCTGAACCTGTCAAGGGGGCCTTAGGGGGAACCCCCTGTAGGGCCACGAGACATGCGAAGGGTGCGCCGAGCCAGGGCGCATAACTCTGCGGACCCTGCCGTTGGGGCCGTCGATGGTGCCCAACATGGGGCCACGAAGCGTGTGAGGGATGCGCCAAACTTGGGCGGCGGAGTTCCCCGTGGAACCCCGTGTTCCCTGGGGCTCTCCCCCGAGGCAACGAAGCGCATGAAGAACCCGCAACAGGGGCCGTTGGGGCCTTCAATGGGGCTCCCTGCGGGGCCACAAAACGTGTGAGGGGTGCACTGGCATGGAAGTGGAACCGCACGCGGGCGCTGCAACTGGGGTTTTCGGTGGAGTTCCCTATGAGAACACGGAGCGTGTGAGGGGTGCACAGGAATGCAGGGTGGAACCACACGCGGGCGCTGCCAATGGGGCCTTCGGTGGAGCGCCGTATGGGGCCACGAATCGTTAATAGGGGGGCACCGAAGTGGGTGTGAAACCGCATGCGGGCGCAGCCACTGAGCCCTTCGGTGGAGCTCACGATGGGGCCACGAAACGTTTGACCGGTGCACCGAAACGCAGGGTGGCAACCACATGGGGGCGCGGACTTCGGTAGAGCCCCCTGTGGTGCCACCAAGCATGTGAGAGGTTCGCCGAAAATGTGGGCGGCACCATTTGCGGCGCTGCCACTGGGGCCTTCGGTTGGGTTCGCAATGCGGCCACGAAACGTGCGACGGATGCACCGAAATGGGGGTGAGACCGCATGCGGCCGCTGCCATTTGGGCCTTCGATGGGGCACTTCATGGAGCCACGAAACGTGTGAGAGGTGGACCGAAATGTGGGTGTGAAACCACATGCGGGCGCTGCCACTGGGGCCTTCGGCGGAGCCCCCGATGGGGCCATAGCCATGTGAGAGGTTGGCCGCAATGCGGGGTGGAAGCGCATGCGGCCGCTGCCACTGGGGCCTCCGGTGAAGTTCTCTATGGGGCCACGAAACGCGTGCGGGGTGCAACGAAATGGAGGTGTAACCGCATGCGGGTGTTGCCCCTGGGGCCTTCGGTGGTGGGTCCACGAACGCACGCGGGCGCTGCCACTGGGGCCTTCGGCGGAACTTCCGATGGGGGCACGAAACGTGTGAGGGGTGCACCGAAATGCGGGTGTGAAGCCGCATGAGAGAGCTGCCACTGGGGCCTTCATGGGGCCACGAAACGTGTGAAGGATGCACTGGGATCAAAGGTGGAACTGCATGCGGGCGCTGCCAGTGGGGCCTTCGGTGGAGCTCCATACGTTGCCACGAAGCGTGTGAAAGGTGCACCGACGTGGAGAGCCCCACGTAGGGCCACGAAACGTGTCAGGGGTGCACTGAAATGCGGCTGTGGAACCGCACGCGGGCGCTGCCACTGGGGCTTCGGTGGAGCTTTCCTAGGGGGGCGCGAAGCGTGTGAGGGGTGCGCCGTACTCGGGGTGGAGCCGCATGCGGGCGCTGCCACTGGGGCCTTCGGTGGACCTCCCTGTGGGGCCACGAAACGTGTGAGGGCTGCACCGAAATTTAAGCGGAACCGCATGCGGGCGCTGCCACGAGCCAGCCGGGAGCTTTCCTCTGAGACTGCCCGTCGCGTCGGCCAGCAGCAGACGGCCGCCAGCGTCCTCGTGCCCTGGGATGAGATCCTGGACGGACAGAGTCAGGCACCAGGCGGGTGAGAGCTGAGGAGAGGAGACCCATGCGCTGCTCTTTGAATCAGGCTTGAGCCGCAATCCAGCGGCCGCATTCGCACGTGCCAAGCAATCACCTTCAGAGAAATCGGTTCTGCTGACGATCCGTAGACGATTCGGCTACCGCCGATAGTGTCGAAGAATGTGCCTTCTGGCGGCTGGGCAGACCTTAGTGGTCCAGCAATCAAACAAGCACTCGCCACGTTGCAGGATTATTCTAAGAGTCAGCGTGTGGGCTTTTTCCAGCCCAGACGCCAAATGATTGCTCGATCAGAGAGGCACGCAAGTGGAGTTTAGGTTCTTGCTTAAACAGGCCCGCTTGCGCGTTCTGGCGCTGTGCACCAATCAGCTCTGGCAGGGCATACCGGCGACAGCGAAACATGTGCCAAGACATCCCACAGGATGCAACATATCCCTGTATGAGCGTCCTCAAGCCCATGAGGTTGATATGCTAAGCGGACGAAGGCATAAGAATAAACCCAAGGCCGAACATAACCAAATAATACACAAAACCCTGTACTGGATGCTTGCTGATTCCTAGTGCTGGGTCTCTGCACAGAGAAGGGCGGACAAATCGTGCCCCCCCTCCCGGTTTCTTTTCGGCCTTGGGTGTTGTATGGATTGGTTGGTTTGATCATGTTTGTTTAAAGGCGTTTGTTTTGGTTGTTGATTCTTGTGTTGTGTTTTCCTGGAATTGGGACAACCTGCCAAAGTTTGCAGTGTTCCGTAGCAGGGCAACGAAGGCCCCTGCGCAGCGAAACGTGTTTCACAAACGGTTGCCGGAGCTGGCGCGGCGTTTCGAGCTCGGCGACACTGGGTGATCAGGTGGCCTCGCTGAGAAAATCATGTTTTTCACTGCGCTCTGCTGCAAATATCTTGTGCCACTGCCTCTCTCCTCTCCTGCCGCCACCTTTTACTCCAGAGACTGGCGCCGTTCCGCCCTGCCGCCCTGTTATTCCAACGTCCTACGCCCACCGCCCCCCTCCCTTGGCTCTGGCTGGTTCTGCCGAGGGGGCGGCAAGGCCTCACCCGAGGCACGCCCAAGAGACCTTGGTTGCGCTCCCGTGGCTGCTACTTCCCCTCCCGCCCTCCCCGCTGATCCACTTTGGACGCCCGACATGGGTACCGAAAAAATGGGTACGATGCCCAACAACAAATGTTGTCCCAAACCAACAGCGGCCGCTGCTGGGCAGGCGGCCTTCTGTCTCGAATGTACACAGGCCGCGGCGACACCGACAGCGAGTCCTGCTCAGAATGAACAGGAATCGTTGTTGAGCATTGTACCCATTCTTTCCGTACCCATCTCGTTCGTGCTACTCCACAGGCCGACACATCAAAGGGCTCGAGCCATGCCGCCGCCCCTCCCCACCGCCGAGCGCCGGCTGCCCCAATGGGGAGGCAGTCCCAGGGATTCAAATGACAGTTTCATGTCTGCAGACCGTCTCTACCTGTGCTTAGCGATGCCTGCGTCTGGGCGCATCTACTTACCCAGGACATCAAAATCTATGAACAGCAGGGAAACGACTCTGGGTTCCCCGGGACCGCCATTTCCGACCGGGGCCGACTTCTGACAGTCCCGGGGCCCAGTGAGGGCCTGCAGAGGCCGAGCATGACAAAACCTCCCATTGCGATTTTTTCGCGACGCGGGGGGGTGGGGTCCAGGAGCGTTGCCCCTGCAGGAGCATGGCGAAGTGAGACAGCGGCCGGTCAAAACCGATCCCCCGACCCCTCCCCGGGCTCCAGCGCGCCAGTCGTTCGGGGAGCTGCGCACAGCCGCGGCGACGATGGGGGGCCCCAGGAGGCCAAGTACACGTCGGTCGGAAGAAATGGATGAAAAAACAGGAAGTAGGAAGGCGGATGAAGTAGTTTGGGCCCAAAACACAACACGAGTCGATCGATCCTTGCAGTAGGAAGGCGCCTGCTATATAGATTGGGATCTGAGAGTCCAGAGAAACCTGCTTTCAGCGACCAGCGCGCAACGCTGTCTCGACTCGCCCTCCTCTTACCCAAGGATCCGATGTCGTGATTTTTAAATGCGCGGTCCTCGAAAGTCTTGACCCATTCCCCAGGACCGGCTTTTCATCCTGAGGCCCCGAGGCCCGGCGAGGGCCTCCAGGGGCCGAAATCAGCGAGAAAACTCCGTCTTGATTTTTTCCTTGCGCTGGACCTCTGGGGACCCTCAGCTGCGCCGGGCGGCGGCCCGCGCCTCGGCGGCGGGGTGGCCGGAGACCCGCACCTCGGCGTGCACGGTTTCCCCCGGGGCCGTAGGCGACCCGATGAGGGGAGGAGGGGGAGAGGGGGAGGAGGAGGAGGAGGGGGAGGGGGAGGAGGAGGAGGAGGAGGAGGAGGAGGAGGAGGAGGAGGAGGAGGAGGAGGAGGAGGAGGAGGAGGAGGAGGAGGAGGAGGAGGGGAGGAGGAGGAGGAGGAGGAGATGGCAGGAGGAGAGGAGGAGGAGGAGGAGGAGGAGGAGGAGGACGGGTCGTCTAAGCCCTTCGGAGAGACCCTCCACCCGCACCTCGGCGCCGCCCCAGAGGAGGCCCGCGGCCGGCACGGAGAGCCTGTAGACGTCCCCCCGCCGGGTCACCTGGCGCACGGGCGGGCCAGCCGAGCTAGAGGTGAGGAGGTTGGTGGTGGTGGTAGTGGTGGTGGCGGTGGTGGTGGAGATGATCATGTTGGTGGGGTTGTGATGGTGGTGGTGATGGTGGTGATCAGGGCGGTACCGCTGGTGATGGCGGTAGGGATGGTGATGGATGGTTATGGTGACGGTGGTGGTGGTGGTCATGATGGTGGTGATGGTGATGATGGTGACGATAATAACTATGATAATGATGATGATGATGATGATGAAGATGATGATGAAGATGAAGATGATGCTGTTGATGATGATGATTATGATGCCATCGGTGATGGTGATGGTGATGATGATGGTTGCGGTGGTGGTGCTGATGATACTGATGGTGATCATGCTGATGATGATGATGATGGTGATGATGATGATGTGATGAATGATGAATGATGATGGTGATGATGATGATGACGACGATAATGACGATGATGAAGGTGATGATGATGATGATGATAATGATGATGATGATGATGATGATGATGATGATGATGATGATGATGATGATGGTCCCACTCCAGTGGCGAGAGCGTCGGCAGCGCTTCGCCCACAAGGCCGCTCAGCCCAGACCTCTTTGGAGGGGTGGCTGTCGCGCGACAGACACGAGGAAGCGGCACGAAGGAACCTCAGCGCAGAGGCGACAAGGGAACCTCCAAGACGCCACGACAGGCGAACCGCCCCCGCGCACGCCGACGGCCACACGGCGCCGTCGCCGACAGGATTCCGAGCGGATCGACGGCTGCACCACACATTCGTGAAAGAGCAACTCACCACGCAGGCACACGAGCGGTTGCGCCCCCGTCGGCCCGCGAGACACCGCCTCGGGCTATCCGAGCGACCCCGACTGCGACGGGTGGAGCCCACGCTGCAAGCCGCAGAGTTCGTCTCGTTGCCCGGCCACCGCGCGGCGTGGGCAGGGCCCGGCCAAGCTCATGGCCCGAGCCGACGCCGCGTGGTGGCCGCACACGGCGCAGAACACCCGCGGTCCCGCAGCGTAGAGTACAGAGAGGGATCGGCGCGTGCCACCAGGCGGGCCTCTGGGCCGCGACTGCAGCGCCGTCCTCGCCCGCGGCTCCGCCGGCAGCAGGCAGCGCCGCTGACGGCACGCCGCGCCTGCGCCCTCGGCGCGGGCGAAGGGGGCGGCCTAGGCGAGGCTGCCGCCTCCTCGGCCCCAGCCTCAATCTCGGCATGCGGCTGCGGCTCGGGCACTGATGATGATGATGATGCTGATGATGATGATGATGATGATGCTGATGATGATGATGATGATGATGATGATGATGATGAAGATGATGATGATGATGATGGTGGTGGTGGTGAGGATGATGGTGGATGATGGTGATGATGGTGGTGATGATGATGATGATGATGATGATGAGGATGAGGATGATGAGTTTGAAACGAACGCTCCGCACGGGGCTGGTGCCAAACGAAAGCGACACGGGTGCCAACTCCAGGGAGGGACTCGGCCCCCTCGTCCAGTGCCCGCCGGCGCGCGGTGCCCCCCGTGGGCCTCCGCCCTGGCCTCTCGACCCACCCCACCTTCCTCTGGCCATCGCTCGAACGTCCATTCCCCGTGCCTTGCTCGGTCTCGTTCGCTCATTTTTCGAGGATGATCCAAGATGCTCCTCAGCGATCCTCGCCGCGGAAAAAATGAACAGGTCCGAGCGATGCCAAGTCCAAGGCAGTGCTAAGCGGGGCCAGCGCAGAGAATCGGATATGCTCGTTATGGAGAACTTCATGGACCCACTCGATCCACTCACGAGTCGATGCTGCGTCGAGCGTCCGTCGACTTGGAGTCGCCCGTGTGTCGAACGTGAGTCGAGCTTGAACCGAGCGTGAATCGAACTAGAATCGAACTAGAATCGAGCTAGAATCGAACTAGAGTCGAACATACCAGTCAGGTGAGTTCCAGGAAGGTCTCCGCGATGAACATATAGTGAGGAGGTCGCAAACTCCCCCAGGAAACGAACCTCCCTAGACGCCCCCAGAGCCCCGCACGACTCCCACAGAGGTCCAAATCCTCCTCGATTCTGGATCCTCAATCCTCCTCGACCCTCGACTTCCGGGAGGAGGTGGAGACACCATTACAGGCGACCTCCCCGTGTCACTGCCCGACCTTCCCCCTCCAGGGAGGAGGATCGAGGATCGGTGCCCTTGGGCGTGTTCGGGTTCTCCCTTGGGTCTCTAGGGGCGCCCTCGTCGACCCACGGCCGAAGGACGCTCGCCATCGGCCCACCCACGCCCCGCCCCCCTCCCTTCGGAGGCAACTGCTGGGAGGTTTTCGTCGGAAAGATTAAGGAGGATTAAGCTCCATTTGGGAGCTGTTACGCCGGAATGGGCCTCGGATTAAGCAGGATTAAACTGGATTAAGCGGGATTGAGCGGGATTAAGCCGGATTAAGCGGGATTAAGCCGGTTTTCGGACCAGGGCAAAGTCAGAATTTAACCTCCCAGGAGTTGCATCCGAACATCGGGTTTGGGCGGACCCGGAATCGCCCAGAGGTGTCCGAGATACGTCGGGCACCGCGGCCCTTCTGGATCATTCCAAGAACACTCGTGAGAGCGTCCCGAGACGCTCTGGAACGACCTACGGCCAGGACAAAACTGTGGCCACGCTTGAGAAGGCGGTCTCTCGGTGGACAGGCCCACACTCAGGAGAACTGGCCGTCGCGATCCTTTCCGTGACGCCGACCATCGAGGGGTAGCTTGACAGGGGCAACCAGACACAAGGTTTGGGCTGGCACGTCCGAAACGAGTGCACGGATGAGATGCCCAACGCAAAGGCTGTCCAAAGCCGACGGCGGCCGCAGTCTGGCAGGAGACCTGCATCAAGTGGAACACGTCCGCAGCAGGGCCGACGACGAGCATTGCCCAACATGGGCAAGAACTGCTGTTGGCCTTCATCCCCCCACCCCTTCCGTCTTTCCGTCCCCATTTCGATCGCACTCGCTTCGGCGGCCGACGAACGGTATAGTCTGAGCTTGGTCGCCGTCGCGGACGCCACCCTCAGGGCGGCTGACAAAATCCCACCAGCCCTCTGGGCGCAGGTGGTCTAGGGCGTTTCCTTTTCCAACCTCCTTCCTTTCCCTGCTCGGGAGGTTTACCTCACCCCCCTCCCTGGGTCTGGACGGACTCCCCCGCGATGTGTCAGAGCGTCCTTTGTTGCCCAAGATCGCTCCAAGAGGGCTCTAGATGACCCAAGATGGCCTCCAAGATCGTCCAAGATACCTCAAGATGGCTCAAGATAGCCTCCGACACGCATCCAAGAGGTCTCAAGACGGTCCCAACAGGCCAAAATCCTTACACAACCAGGGTGTAATCATTGTTGTTGACCTTCTCACTGTTTCGCCTCCGATGGGCTCTTGAGGCGTCAAGACGACCCTAAGACGTCCTAAGATAGCCCTAGTAAGGGCCCAAGAGGCCACCAAGACCGCCCAAGAGCGCTCCAGGAGCGAGCCCACGAGGGCCCCAAGACAGCATGTTTGAGCCTCCGAGGGGCGGCGGGAATTTAAGACCCCCCCTCTGTTTGAACAATGGGGCCCAAGACGGCCCGAAGAGGCCTCCCAGACCCCCCCAAAAAACACCATCAGGGCTCCAAGACCCCCCCAAGAGAGCCCCGATAAGGCCCCAAGAGGACCCCAAGAGGGCCCCAAGATGGCGCCCGAATGGCATTACGAGTTTTCGGAGAAACCCTCACCACGACATATCCCCAAAACCCGAATTCTCGCCGTCCTTGTCATCGTCCGTCCCCTCCTTGCGTCTTTCCTACCGCCTCCCTGCTCCTCATCATCCTCCTCGCGCCGCGCTCCTCCTGCTCCTCCTCCTTCCCGTCTTCCGTCCGTGTTTTCCCTCCTCACCCATCCCTTTTCCTTATAAAGAAATTCTCCCTGTCGAACCCCGAAGCCAGATTTTAGGGCGGGCCGGGCGTTTCGCCTGAGATTTCCTCACCCTTTTGTGACTCCTAAGCTTTAAGAAAGGACATCAACTTCGCATATTGAGGGCGGGTGGTTTTCAAACTGTGGCTGTCGCTTGGGCGCCGCGCACATTCGTTGTAGACATTTGAAAAGCTTCAAGGGATTGAGGGCGGGTGGTTTTCAAAGTGCGGCTGTCGCTTGATCGCCGCGCAATCGTTAAAATTATCCCGGCAAAGCAACCTAACAGCGATGTGTAGGAGCATATCTGGAAGCATTCCCCTTAAGATTCAGATGAGAATCCAGTTGTAGAATTCTGCTGTTCTCGCAGTCGTAGTCGCATTCGCGATGACAGTCGCAGTGGCAACGGCAGTCGCAGTCACAGCCTCAGCCTCAGCCTGCCTCAGCCTCAGCCTCAGCCTGCCTCAGCCTCAGCCTGCCTCAGCCTCAGCCTCAGCCTGCTTCAGCCTCAGCCTCAGTCTGCCTTCAGCCTCGGCCTCAGCCTCAGCCTGCCTCAGCCTCAGCCTGCATCAGCCTCAGCCTCAGCCTCAGCCTGCCTCAGCATCAGCCTGCTTCAGCCTCAGCCTCAGCCTGCCTCAGCCTCAGCCTCAGTCTGCTTCAGCCTCAGCCTCATTCTGCCTTCGCCTCGGCCTCAGCCTCAGCCTGCCTCAGCCTCAGCCTGCATCAGCCTCAGCCTCAGCACGAAGCGACCCAGCTAGAAGGACAAAGCGCTGAATGTACACCGATGTGTTCGACGACTGCGTATGTAATGATGTGACGATATACAGACTGAGCCCTTCGTGAATGTCTACATGTTTTTCTGACGCCTACAAACGGCGCTGACGTGTGTGAGAAAATTGTCCGCGCAGCAAAAGCCGGCGAAGCGTGCGGGAGCTCGCATGCTGAGACAGACTACGTCTGCAGACCGCCAGCTGCAAAAGGTTGCGAGCGGCTCTTGGAAGATGTTTACGGAACGGAGCTACGGTGTCTGAAAACATTGGCATCGAAGCGAAGAGCCTCGGAGCCCTGCAACCTGAGAAACACCGCA